TGGGGGTTGCTCAATAAATATCAAAGGTGGGTAGATGGATGGATGAAAACAAATCTTGTGTCTCTTTTGGAATCTCAATTTATTTTTATTTTTTATATGTATGAGTGTTTTGCCTGCACGTATGCAGGTGCACCATGTACACGCAATTCCTGTGTTCAGAAGAAGGTGTCAGATCCCCTGAACTAGAGTAGGGACAGTGGTTAGCCCAATGGAGGTGCTGAAAACTGAACCTAGGTCCTCTGCAAGAGCAACCATTGCTCTTAACCCCTGATCCATCTCTCCGGCCCCATCTTTTGAAATCTTAAGAAATGTTTATTCTTGAGGTGTGTCAAGAGCTGAGTCAGTCTCATTCACCAGATACTTCTTCCAGGTCTCCTAAATTTGACCATTGGAGTTAAATGGAAAACAGCCTAGAATAAGATATGAGGGGGGAAATAGCTTTAAAAAAAGGACTGGGAGGAGGGGAGCTGGTGAGGGTGGAAGAGGGATACAAGTAAGGCAATGAGAGGGACCAGAATGTATTATACTGGTGGTGCTGCTGCTGGATGCCTGTAAGTCCAACACTTAGGAGGCTGAGGCAGGGGGATTGCCATGAGTTAGAGGCGAATCTGAGACAAGCCAACCTGTCTGAAGAAAGCAAATTAACTTTTTTTTTTTTTTTTTTGGTCTTTTTGACCAAAAAAGGGTCTCCTAGCTGGCCTGGATTTGCTATGGAGACCAGGCTGGCCTCGAACTCACAGAGATCCGCCTGCCTCTGTCTCCTGAGTGCTAGGATTAAAGCCATGTGTCACCACGCCCACTGGAAATTAACAGTATTTTAAAAAGAAGACTGGAAGGGCTGGAGAGATGGCTCATTAGTTAAGAACACTGACTGTTGTAGAAGACCTGGATTTGAATCCCAGCACCCACATGGCAGCTAACAACTGTCCATAACCCCAGTTCCAGGGGCTCCGATGCCTCTTCTGTCCTCCACAGGCATTGCACAATACGGGTGCACTTACCTACATGCAGGCATAACACTCATAAAATAAAAATAATAAATAAAATTTAAAAAAAGAGAGAGAGGAGGTTAAGAGCAGGGATGGTTTGCAACACCTTCTGCACACATGTGTACATACCCACACACAGACATTTACATACACACACAATTAAAAATAAATCTTTTGTAAAAAAGACTTCCTTTAAAATATGGTAAGGGCTAGAGAGATGGCTCAATAGGTAAAGTGCTTTCTATGCTAGCATGAGACCTGTGTTTAGATTGCCCAGCACCTATGCAAATAGTTCGGTATGGTAGTGCTAGGGGGCAAGGCAGGGGGCGGGGGGCAGTGGAATTGGGTCCGTAGAACTTTCTGGTCAGACAGTCTAGCCAAATAAGAAAGCTCCAGGTTCAATAAGCAACCTTGCCTCAAAAAATAAGGTGCAGACTCTCAACATTGACCACTGCCCCTCCCCGCAAGCACATGAACCGGTATATATATATATATACAAAAAATAAAGTGCTAGAATTTTTTTAATGGTTCTGAAATTAAGCCAGCCTGGGAAAGAGAAGAGACTGACAGTTGCCTTCCCAAATGAAGTCTGTATTGCTTAGCATGAGTGATGAGCTCTGTTCATAAAAACTAGGGGTGACAGGACCTGTTGGAGGTTTTGTGGGCCACACTGCCTGTGTTTCAGCTACTCAGCTTTCATCTCTACAAAGATAGTCATCAGTAGTATTTTCTTCTGTAAGGAAATGGTTTTATGAGTTTGATTTTATCCTGAGTAGATGGCAGACCATATTTCGTCCATGATTGCAGTTTGCCAAGCCCCATCTAACGCATATCGTTATGGTAAGTTCAATCTGCTGTTAGGTCTTAGAAAAAAAGGACTTGCTAGCCATATAGTTGGTTTTTTTCAATGCTTTAAATAAATGATCTTTTACTGTGTCTAAACTTTTGTCCTTAAATATATTGATTAGCCTTTCATGTAACATATTTAACTGTAGTATGATGATAAGGAAAATGGAGATGGTACACTGTAAGACTTTCTTGAATGTGCTACACTGACTCAGTATCCTATGCATTTGTTATTGTTGTTGTTATTTGTAGTCTGAAATCAAACCTAGAGCCTTGTACATACTAGACAAATGAACAGTTTTAAAAGATATATCTTTTTTTTCTTTTTTTTTTTTTTGAGATAGGGTCGACATGTAGACCAAGTTGGCCTTGAATGCACAGAGGTCTGCCTGCCTCTGCTACCAAGTGCTGGGAGTAAAGGCATGCAGCAGTACACCATTTTTAAAGGCCTCTAATGAAATCCCAATTTTATTGTCTTTTAGCATCTCTTTTCACCATGTGTGTGTGTGAAGGTGTAAATTCTATTCCTGTGGCCTTCTATCTTAACCTCAATCATACATGTTTGCATCTGTACCTAGCACTTTCCATCACTTGTCACGGATTATAAATGTGTGTGTCTGTTTAAATAGTCTTTGAAATTGCATATGCCCATCTTCCATTTGGAAAGTGAGAGATCTTCATATTCAAATGTGGCACTGAAATAAAGGAAACTAATGTATCATTTCAAATGTATATTAGAAAAACATTTATTATAATTGGAGCTGTTAAGCCCAATGTGTTAAGTTTGTGTGTATGTGGGGTGGTGGGGAGGGGGCACCACAGCACGTGCGTGGAAGTCAGAGGACAACTTGTGGGAGTTGGTTCTCTCCTGCTACCATGTGGGTCCCAGGGATTGAATGCAAGTCAATCAGGCTTGGTGGTAAGTGCCTTTACCTGCTGAACCATCTTGCGAGTCCCCCCAAAATATCTTTTAACAACTGAGAAAAATGCGTCTTTAAAATTACTCTAAAATTCAAAGAATTGGTGCGAGTTTTCACCAAAAATTGAATAAAAGATAATGTTGCAGTTCTTGAGCAATTACAAAAGTTCTAGGCCTGGGTCAAAGTACTATGGTACTTACTGGTCATGGTGGTTGTTATAGTTTGTCTCTCCATTGCTGTGACAAAACACTCTGACTGCTACCAACTTGGGGAGGAAAGGGTTTATTTAGCTTACATTTCCCGGGTCACAGTTCATCCAGGAGCCCAAGGTAGAAACTCTGGGCAGGAACCTAGAGGCAGGAGTTGGAGCACAGGCCATGGACGAATGCTGCTTACTGGCTGGCTCCCCTGGCCCCTGATCAGCCTGCTTTCTTATGCAACACAAGCCCACCTTCCCAGGGGTGGCACCACCCACAGTGGGCTGGACCCTCCCACATCACTTATCAAGAAGATGCCCCTCAGACATGGCCACAGGCCAGTCTAGTAGAGGCAGTTCCCCAACTGAGGAAGTTGACACTAAAGCTATCCAGCACAGTGGTTCACACCTATCATCCCAGCACTGAAGAGGCTAAAGAGGGAGGAACGTGAGTTCAAAGCCATCCTGGACTGGGGATAAGGGTGTCTTTGTACACATTTGCTAATTTATTGTGCTAAACTTGAATACTATCATTAACATCCCCATTTTACAGTTAGTGAAACTCATTCATGAAATAGCTAAGTGTCTTCACTAGAGGCCACACAACTAGGAAGTGTGAAGCTGAGACTCAGACAACTATGCAGTTTGGTTTCATTCACAGCAGATGAGTGAGAGATGGACTGTTTTGACCAATTGGCAAATGGATAACTTGGGGCTTTTTTGTGTGTGTGTCATTATAGTTTGTGTTGTTTCTTTTATTTAATGATTAAATTCATCTTTAAAATTTTTTATTAATTTTTGTTTTATGTGTATGAGTGGTTTGCCTGCATGTATGTAAGTGCACTTATGTCGTGCAATGCCCATGAAAATCAGAAGAGGTATCTGGTCCCCTGGAACTAGAGTTCCTGATAGTTGTTAGCCGCCATATGGTGCTGGGAACTGAACCTGGGCCCTCTGCAAGAGCAGCCAGTGCTCTTAACTGCTGAGCCATCTCTCCAGCCCCAGTACTACATTTTTTAAATGAACAGTGTTTCTGGTTCTAGTTAAATGATGAAACCTTATGCCATTATTAAAAGATGAGGTTGCTGTGTGAACTGGTGCAATTTACATAACTTCTGAATCTCCCCATGAGCAAACTGAGACTAATGTCATTTACCTTGTACAAAGGCTGAGAAGATGAACTAAGAGAACGCAGGTGACAGTTCTCTGAATAGTGTGTTTTGCCAGAGAGATATTGCTGCAGGACTTCCCCAGCTTAAAGTTAATCTAGCTCTTTGTGAACTGACTCCAAGTCTGTGAATGGTTCATACCAAGATTTTGTCTGAATCATAAATACCTGTGTAGTTCCTAAGCCAACTCCTCAGCAATGCAGACATCCCATTTTCTGTCAAAAACTTCAGTACACAACTCTGTATCCAACTCAGATAATAACATCTCTTTTTTAATAATCATACTGCTCTAGGATTGGGGGTATAGTTCAGTGGTAGAGCACTTGCCTAGCATGTGCAATGCCCTAGGTTCCATCCCCAAATACACACACACACACACACACACACACACACACACACACACACCAGAATGGGAAAAAATTATATTATTCTAATCCCTGCAGTGAAAAAGTCTGCCTTTCAAAAGAAAGAAAAATCTTGACTATGCCAAAGACATAAAGGGAGTTTGTAAAGTGCTGTAGTGAAATAAAATCAATCTGAGTTGACAGTGTAGGAATTAAGCAAAAGATGTTATTTGCTGCAAGAACTAAGATTTTTTTTTCCAAAGATGACAGCAAGTTCTCTAGCTTCAGAGCTGTTGGAGAACTGATTAAACACAAATACTTGGTTTCCTCCCTGACCCCCAGTCACTTTTACAGTTTTTCCTGCACAGCTTGACTATTTTAAGGTCGTTTGCATGCCCGCAAAGGCCTCCTCCATTTTATTCTAATTCACCACCCCACAGCCTGCCTATTCATAAGCTTGCCTGCGCAGGAACAAAAGATTCGAGTTCAGACAGACCCTTGAGGATTCCTCACTCACATTCCTTTCTCTCTCCTAGCTTTACAGCTGTGGATGCCTTTGACATTATGACTGCAGAGGATTCCACCGCAGCTATGAGCAGCGACCCAGCCACCGGCTCTTCGGCCAAGGTGCCCGAGGGGGTGGCAGGCGCACCCAATGAGGCAGCGCTCCTGGCACTGATGGAACGCACCGGCTACAGCATGGTACAGGAGAATGGACAGCGCAAGTATGGGGGTCCCCCGCCCGGCTGGGAGGGCGCGCATCCCCAGCGCGGTTGTGAGGTCTTCGTGGGCAAGATCCCGCGCGACGTGTACGAGGACGAGCTGGTGCCGGTGTTCGAGACGGTGGGCCGCATCTACGAGCTGCGCCTCATGATGGACTTCGACGGCAAGAACCGCGGCTATGCGTTCGTCATGTACTGCCACAAGCATGAGGCTAAGCGCGCCGTGCGGGAGCTCAACAACTACGAGATCCGTCCAGGCCGCCTGCTGGGCGTGTGCTGCAGCGTGGACAACTGCCGTCTCTTCATCGGAGGCATCCCCAAGATGAAGAAGCGTGAGGAGATCCTGACTGAGATCGCCAAGGTCACCGAGGGCGTGCTGGACGTGATAGTGTATGCCAGCGCGGCTGACAAGATGAAGAACCGAGGCTTTGCCTTCGTGGAGTACGAGAGCCACCGTGCAGCGGCCATGGCGCGCCGCAAGCTCATGCCAGGGCGCATCCAGCTGTGGGGCCACCAGATCGCGGTGGACTGGGCTGAGCCTGAGATGGACGTGGATGAAGACGTGATGGAGACCGTGAAGATCCTCTACGTACGCAACCTCATGATCGAGACGACCGAGGACACCATCAAGAAGGTCTTCGGCCAGTTCAACCCGGGCTGCGTGGAGCGCGTCAAGAAGATACGCGACTATGCCTTCGTGCACTTTGCCAGCCGTGAGGATGCGGTGCACGCCATGAACAACCTCAACGGCACGGAGCTGGAGGGGTCCTGCCTGGAGGTCACGTTGGCCAAGCCTGTGGACAAGGAGCAGTACTCCCGCTACCAGAAAGCAGCCAAGGGCGGTGGCTGTGCAGCAGAGGCGGTTACACAGCAGCCCAGCTACTTATACTCCTGCGACCCCTACGCATTGGCTTACTACAGCTATCCCTACAACACGCTCATCGGGCCCAACAGGGAGTACTTTGTGAAAGGTTAGTGGAGACGCCTCTGCGGGTTAGCAACAGGTCGTGCATGACTATGGTTTACTAGGCCCTTCCCATCTGGATTGAGGGTCTGAGTTCTGTTTGCTGGCTCTTGAGGCAATCACTGTTGTAGCACTGGTAAAAACATCCTTCTGGCTGAGTCAAGTCAGTGGGGACACATTGTCCTCCTTGCCAGGGCCTACCCCATGCGGGGCAGTTCTGCTCATACCTTGGAGTTTAAAACTGCTTCTGTCCTAGGGTGGTGGTGGCAGCCCTGTAATCCCAGCACTCTAGAGGGTAAAGCAAGAGTGTCTCTAGTTTGAGGCCAGCCTGGGCTACATAGTTAGACCCTGTCTAAAAATAAAATGTGCTTCTGAAATGGAATCTGTAAGATATTGGTTGGGGCTATCATGGTTCCTTGTCCTCAATGATGAGGACACCGTGAGGTCAAGCATGACACTAGAAAACACATAACCAGAGTTCAAGGGCCTGCTCTCCCATTAACTAGATCTGGGAGTTCGTATCCCCAGGCCTGTTTTCTCAACCATAAAACAAGGAAGATCCCTTCCTACGTCTAACTATTGTTTTTCATTTTATACGTATAACTGTATTGTCTGCATGTATGTCAGTGCACCCATGCCCACAGAAGTTGGAAGAAAGTGTGGGATCCTCTGGAACTGGAGTTACAGACAGTTGTTAGGCACCATGTGGGTGCTGGAACCGAACCCAGGTCCTCTGCAAGAGCAGCCACTCTTCTTAACCACTGAGGCAGCTCTCCAGCCCTCCATATCTACCCTTTTTATGCTCTATGAAAGTTTTTTTCTTTACTGAAGTTGTAATTACAATCCTAGGAAACTCACCTTACAAGTTAGTGTCTTGTGTTAAAAGGACAGACTTAGAATGCTGATATAGACTGAAATAAAATGTTAGGAGCAGCTTATCAGCCCATCAAAAACCAGAGGTATAACCACCTGCCACTTAGACATAGAGCAATCTAAAGGCCCAGAGCTATGGGCTTCAGTGTGTCCCTGCATCATCACTGTCATTTGCTCATCATTTTTTTGTGTTGTTACATAAGCAGGCAGTGTAAGAGGCCGAGGGCGAGGTGCGGCTGGTAACAGAGCCCCAGGACCTAGGGGTTCCTACCTTGGAGGATATTCTGCTGGTCGTGGTATATATAGCCGATATCATGAAGGGAAAGGAAAACAGCAAGAAAAAGGATATGAACTTGTGCCGAATTTGGAAATCTCTACTGTCAATCCAGTTGCCATTAAACCTGGTACAGGTCAGTATAAACCAGCCAGAGTATATCATTTGGCCTGAACCCCGACCCTGTGTTCTAGTGAGTCCCAGCCTTTTCGGCTCTTCCATCTGTCTGTACATCTGTGTTCTCCCTATCTACAAAAGGAAGGTGGTCCCCTGGGCCTTCTTATCTGGAAGTTAGGGAATGACCATGGGACTGTTAGGAAGTTTTCCAAACAGGTATCACCAGTTGGCAGGCTATCTCTTGGTGGCCACACAGGCAGAGTTAAGGGTGAGGTGAGGAGAGAAAGGAAGCAAGAGGCTGTCTGTGCCTTCTGTCATTTACAGTGCATGAGGCTGTCTGTGCCTTCTGTCATTTGCAGTGAATGCTAGGTAAGGGCTCCGTCACCAAGCTATCCCCAGCTCTGCTTCAGCCACCAGAGCCAAGGTATAGGAATACCAGTTCGGAGAATTATTGAAGGAGTAGAAATTCCCTTTCCAGAGCCAAGAGTGCCAATTTTCTCCCCTTACGGTCTGACAGACAAGAATGCTTGGAGAGGAAGCTAAGCTGAAAGCTCCTGCAGCTGCTAATTCACTGGATTCTAATTTCCAGCACTTATTTCCTCCTCGTGTCACATCCGTAGATTTAGAGAACAGAGAGCTCAACCCACTGAGCTTTGGACTTTGAACTTTGCTTTCACCTCCAGGCCCCACAACATTGTTGGTCTCTTGGTCACCTACCGTGGGGAAGAGCAAGGAGCTTTAGCTCCATTCAGTGAGTCCAGCAGACTCACTGTCAGAAAATTCACTGTCAGCACACAGGCCTCTGACCCCAGGAAGAATTCCATTTGCGGGTACCAAGAGTGCTTCTCCTCCTAAGTTCTTGCTTGGTCAGCCTCACTGAGGGAAGAAGGATGAGCTTTTGAAGCTCAGCCATTCCCTTGAGGAGTACATACTTCCTCTCCTAGGTAAAATAAGGGTCAAGGAATTGGTGTGTTTGGAACATAGGTTCACATTGGCCTCCCAAGGCTAAAAAATATGTTTGTGGTAGAACATCCATTTGAAGGAATCCAGTGATGGCTGGGAAAATACCCCTGTCATCTCTGCAGTGAAGTGGCTCCTGGCACTGAGGTTCCTCATAAGTGTCATTGGCCCTGAACAGTCTTTAGTCATGCAAAATCCTGAGGTAGAGATTTCTGCAAGCCAGAAGCCAGAACTACGCAGAGTTACTTGATACAACCCCATGTGACTTCAACCCATAACCCTCTCTGGACCCCGTCCCTTTCTGATTATCTGGAAGAGTACAACTTTGTCTTTATGAGAGATACCAGGGCAATGGTGAACTTTCTGGACACAAAACTAGTGGAAGATTTGATTGGGAAGGCAGGTAGCATATTTGGTTAAGGTTTTATTTAGACTTTTTTTTTATTGAACAACTGGGCCATTGTTTAACTGATGGTCATTTTGTCTCCATACTTTTGATCAAATCCATCTTATTAGAATAAATATACCTACAGTTGAAGGAAAAACAAATGAAAGCATTCTTTGTGTATTCGTTTCTTATTTTTGCTTATCCTTTCAGTACACACAGCATGCACATACACAAACTCTCCCAAATCAGGGCTAGCATCTCTTCCTTTTGATCTCTCGTTATTGTACATTGACATTCAATAACTATCTGTTTGAATCTCTGCTTGAAACCGTTCCTTTGAACTTTACTCACAGAAATTGTTTGAGTTGGCAGGTCCCACTGAAAAACCAGTCCCACCACTGCTAAATTTCTATAAATGGATATTAGAAATCTCTCTATTTTCTATTCAGTTTTTTTGCATTGCATCCATAGAAACTGAAATGTAACATACAGGGCAGAGAGGGGATGGACACACACCTCTGAATTGTCAGAATGATACCTCGCCTAATCCTGCCTCTTAAAACATCATGAAAGTGCAAAGGACTTTGTCTGATGGTGTGAGAGGTGGGAAACAGTGAACAAGCAGAACTAAGGCTCACACTTGTTAGGACAAGAATCAGACTCTTTCTAGAGATCTTTTTAGAAGTGGTAGGCAATGATGGTGCAGAGACCTCGCTCTAAACTCCTTGTCCATGATGGTCTGTGGAGAAACTCCACACCAGTGTGGTTCCAAGCCAAGCAGAAAGTCACTACTGTCTCCTCTCCCTTCCTTACAGGAAGCACCTTCTTATAGGGCTTGTACTAGAAGAGTACTGGTGTGCAGAAGTAGGCGACTGCTAACCTTAGTTTTTGAAAGTGTCAGAGCAAGTGACTGTGAGTGATGCACCTGTTTTCCCTCCTGCTTCTCTTCAGTGGCCATCCCTGCCATCGGGACCCAGTATTCCATGTTTCAGGCAGCCCCGACCCCTAAAATGATTGAAGATGGTAAAATCCCCACAATGGAGCACATGATAGGCCCCATTGCTGTGCAACCAGACCCAGCCAGTGCTGCTGCTGCCGCCGCCGCCGCCGCTGCTGCCGCCGCCGCCGTCATTCCTGCGGTGTCCACACCACCACCTTTCCAGGTAGAGTTCTTGCTGTGGTCATTGCAGTTTGTATTTGGGCATCTCTTTATCATGGACTCAGTTAGTATTCAGCACTGAGTGTTTACTGTGTGCCTAGCTCTCTGTTGGAACTATGCAATTAGGTGATGTTTTAAAACATGAGGTCGTTTGTTTTCCTGTGCTGAGGATTAAACCCAGAGTCTTGTACATGTTAGGCAAGTGTTGTGAAAGAAAGAAAGAAAGAGAGAGAGAGAGAGAGAGAGAGAGAGAGAAAGAGAGAAACATTTAGTTCTAGGAAAACTTTTAAAAATTTTTACTTACTTTAATTTTGTATGTATGAGTGCATTGTCTGCATAATGTAAGTACACCTCTGTCGTGCAATACCTGAGGAAACCAGAAAAGGGCATCATCATATTCCCTGGAATTGGAGTTACAGACAGTTGTTAGCTGCTGTGTGGGTGCTTGGAACCAGGGTCCTCTGCATGAGCAGCCAGTGCTCTTAACCACTGAGTCAACTCTCCAGCTCCTGAAGTTTTTTGGTCTTTTTTTTTTTAAGTTTATATGTATATGTGTGTATACACATGCATGCATGCACACACATGCATGTGCACATGTGTGTAGTGTGTGTATATGGGTATTCATGAAGGTAAAGCACCTATGTAGATGTCTAAAGCATTATAGAATCTTTCCTCTTCTCCTCCAGCCATGTCTCACGATGTCTTCTCAAACTAGTCATGAACATTTGCCCTCTTCTCTTTTGCTTAAATTATTTGCTGCAGCTTCTCTTCCTCTCCTGTAGTCTCCTCTCCACCTATCCTAGAGAAATCTTCCCTTTACTTATCGTTAATACATTTTCCCCTGGCATATACCTGTGTGTTCTTTCTTGGTAAGAATCTCCCCTGGGCCTAAGGTTATGTCTTAGAGTTCTTTGTGTCTTCAGTGTGTAGCACAGAGGAAGGACATCTTTTGAACAGGGGGAAAAATCTTCTTAAACCTAGTCTATGAACCAGTGAGCCCAAGAATTATCCAGGATATGTATTTTAAAAGCAGAGATTCCCAGGCCAGGAGGCCTGAAGGTTCCAAATCAGTTGATCTAGGCTGGAACTCTAGAATCAGTATTTGTGCAAGTGTGTTTATGATTCTCAAATGGTCAGGCTTGTGAATCACTTCAGTGGAACTCTGTTGGCCTGCCCCTGGCTACTCTAAACTCAGCCTTGATTGCCTTATTCAGAAAGGGTTAAACCAGTTGGAGTTTATTCATGGACTGTTTTTAAAATCAAGGCTTTTTGTTTGTTTAGTAATTATTTTTAATTGAAATCATAATTACACATATGTGTAAGATGCATTGTGATGTTTCTGTTTGTTTGTTGTGTTTGTCTTTTTGAGATGGGGACTCATTCTATAGTCTAGGCTGGCCTGAAACTATATAGCCCAAGCTGGTCTACAACTCCTCCTGATCTTCTTGCATCAGTCACCTTAAGTGCTGGGATTACACATGTGAGCTGCTACCCACCTGTGACATTTCAGTACATTTTACAATGTATAATGATCCAGTAAGGGTAAATGGCATCCCCACCACCTCTAACACTTGTCATTTCTTTGTGTTTGGAGGTGGGCCATCCAAAATCCTTCCCAGCTGTTTAGAAATACACAACAAAAAAATTGTCAACCAGAGTTACCATACTGAGCTATGGAACATTCAATATTATTCCTTCTATACAACTGCATAAGGCAGGGGCTGGAGAGATGGCTCAGCAGTTAAGATTACTGACTGTTCTTGCAGAGGACAGGTTCAATTCCCAGCACCCACTTGGTGGCTAGCAGTCTTCTGTAACTCCAGTTCTAGGGATCCATTGCCCTCTTTTGACTTCTGTGGGCATTGCACAACATGGGTGCACTTACCTACATGCAAGCATTACATTCATACAAATAAAAAAATAATAATAAGCCAGGGATGGTGATGTATGTCTTTAATCCCAGCAGTTGGAAGGCAGAGGCAGGTGGATCTCTGTGAGTTCGAGGCCAGCCTGCTCTACATAGTGAGCTCTAGGCCAGCTGGGGCTACAGAAAGACCCCGTCTCAAAAAAGACATAATAATGATGATGATGATGATGATGATAATAATAATAATAATAATAAATAAATAAAAATTTTTTAAATGCATTAGGCAGTAACTGATAATTCTGAGAAACTCATGAACATTTCTCTTCAGTGTGAAGCAATAGTGCTGGTCAGGTCCAAATTCCAGCCTGCATAATCATGTTCCCTCTGCACTAAATGTTGCCATTAGTCCTTATTTGTCATTATTGCTTACGAAGTTGCTCAAAGTACAATTGTTATCAGTTAAATCCTACCGAGACTTGATTCTGTTCCAAGACGTTCTACAGAGTTCCCAGGGCCCCCTGACTGTTCAACCTGTGGGGAACAAGTGAGGTCTGGGTTCTCCCTTAAATCTAAGCACTCTCTATGGCCTCGTGAGTTTGGTCCCTGATGTGCTCAGCCATCTGCCTCTTCTGAATTTCCTGATGGGTTGCAACAGAATAAGGAACTTTTGTGTGTGTGTGTGTGTGTGGGTTTTTGAATCAGGGTCTCCCTGTAGCCCCAGCTGTCCTGGAACTCACTATGTAGACCAGGCTGGCCTTGAACTCACAGAGATCCGCCTGTCTCTGCCTCCCAAGTGCTGGGACTACAGGCGTGAGCCACCATGCCCAGCTAAATATAAGGAACATTTTAAACACCACTGATTAACAGGAAGGACAGCTTTCTGAGCCACACTGGATTGCCCAGCATAGCTTCCACAGCCTTCCTGGGGTATGCCTAGGATCATTGCTCCCCTGCCTTGCAAGTGCTCAGGGATCCTGTCTAGCATTTTCATGCCTAGAATTTTTTAAAAATATTTTATTTATTATCTTTATTTTATGTGTGTGCGTGTATTGCCTGCATACAGGTAAGTGCACCTGTGTTGTGCAATGTCCACGGAAGACAGAAGAGGCTGTCAGATCCCCTGGAACTGGAGTTAGGGACAGTTGTTAGCTGCCATGTAGGTACCGGGATTCGAACCTGGGTCTTCTGCAAGAACAACTAGTATTCTTAACCGCTGAGCCATCCCTCCAGTCCCATGCCTAGAATTTTATGAAGAAATATTTGCCAGTAAGGACTTAGAAGTTTTTCAAAGTGATGTGTCATAAAGTGTTCTCTACCTTAACAACAAATCTGTGGTACAAAGAGCAAGGACAACCGTGCCTCTTCAACAGGAAGGAAACCACAGTTATTTCTCCTCCCCTACCCCTAGGTTCCCACCCTACCACTTCTTACCCCTAATTGTATTACTTACCAGAGGCCCACTGTGTACTGCCAGGGCTAGAAAAGTGTCTTCTCCCCTCCAGGGTTATTATTAGACCAAAGGCATATTATTTATGCACAGGGAAAAAATTAGAGGGAAGAGAGGTAAGAACCAAAACAATTCCGTGAAACATATGAGGGAACATGGTGATAGGTATGGATGGACCTCTCTAATATTATTTATGAGACTCTGTACTTAGAAAAATCTGGGCTAGCAAGAGGAAGTGAAGTTCACAGACCAGCTCCAATTTCATGTAATCCATAGTTTTGATTTCCTCATGTGAATCAAAAGTACTTTATTTTGAGACACAGTCTTGCTAAATTACTCAGACTAGACTTGAACTCACTCTGTAGCCCAAACAGGACTTAAACTCATGATTCTTCTGCCTCAGCTTTCAGAGCAGCTGGGATTGCAGGCCTGGCCTTTAGAAGCAGCATTTAAGGATATCATATGAGGTTTAGGGACACTTGTCTAGCATGTGTAAAGCCATAGGTTTGATTCCCAGCATTTCATACACCAGAGGTAATGGCACACACCTCTAATCCCAAGACCTGGGAGATGGAGGCACAATGTCTTAAATTCAAGGCATCTTTGGCTACATAGCAAGCAAGGCCAGCTTGGAATACATGAGATCCTGTCTCAAAAATAAACAAAACAAACAGAAATGTCAAATGGATGTTTCTCCCTTTACTACCTTTGCACATTTATTCTCTCTCTTTGGTGAGGCTGGATTCATGTGACTGCCTTTCACTAGCTTTTTACCACTTTTTGTATATTCTCATATTTGGGGAAGTGATTGAATAACCTAGAGCCACATGGCTGGCCAGAGGTAGAAAGTGGGATGGACAGATTAGATTGCTGATCCATGTTGTCTTTATGTCATAGGGACCAAAAGGAGGCCTCACATCTGGCCAGCTTCTTGAGTTTATGAGCATTGGTGTTTCTCCCCACCCTACAGAAGGTTTCTGTTGGTCCTTCTCATAGGCCCAGGGATGATATTTTCAGAAAGGGTGACAGGCAGTGAGAGCCCTTCAGTGCAGTTTGCTGCTTACAGATGCTGCTGATCATCTTTTCCTCTCAGTGAGCCATTCTTTTGGGTACCATCTTCCCACTAGATGATGCTCACTTACTTTCGGGTATCTACCCATGCTGGTCTCCATAAATGACAGAGTCTTTAAAATCAGTCTGCTTGGCAGGCATGTGGCACAGGTCTGTGATCCTAGAACTCAGAAGGCTGAAGCAGGAGGATGGAGGGGAAAAAAGCCAAGTCACTTTAAATCATTTAATGCATCTGTACCTCTCCACAATCACATAATCAAGTCCTAACTTGACTGAGGGTTTTGCTGATTCAGTGTCATAAAATAAGGTACCTAGAATAATCCCTGGCAGACAGGAGTCAGATAATGAGGATTATCATTGCCAGATAATTAGGATTATCATTGCTATAGTTATTTTGATTACTGTTGAAAAAATATTTAGGTAGACATTCCTTTGAACATAATTTTGTGAGTCTGGTTTTTAGATTTTGTAAGAAAAATAGCTGGATCCTTTATAAGAATCTGGGAACCCCAGCATTTGGGAAGTAGAGGCAGGAGGATCAGGAATTCAAAGTCATCCTTGGATACATAGTCTTTGTAGGCCAGCCTGTGCTACATGAGACCCTATTTCAAAACAACAACAGCAAAAATAAGAAGCCAGGCCTGGTGGCATATACCTGTAATCTTAACAACTCAGGAGGCCAAGACAGGAGGATTGAAAGTTCAAAGCCTGCCTGGGCTACAGAGCAAGTTCAAAGCCAACCTCAGCAACTTAGCAAGACCCCGTCTTAAAATAAAAAAGTTATTTTAAAAACTTAAAAAGGAGCCAGGCATGGTGGCGCATGCCTGTAGTCCCAGCACTTGGGAGGCAGAGGCAGGTGGGTCTCTGTGAGTTCAAGGCCAACCTGGTCTACATAGTGAGTTCCAAGACAGCTGGGGCTACAGGGAGACCCTGCTTCAAAAAGCCAAAAAATAAAAACTTAAAAAGGACTGAGGCCATAGCCTAGTATGCAAGAGACCCTAGATTTAATCCACAGCATTGAAAAGAAAAATAACCTAGGAACAATGAATGTCTTAAATGTGATTTTCCATTTCACATATTCTACATTATACCTCTGAGGATGTGGTGAGGCACAGAGAGACCATACCAGCATTTAGTGTAGGGTATTCTGTGGAACATACAGTGCACCAAATACTTTGAGTGTTTTATTTGTACCCTACATCGCTTTTTCCTTGATGCAGCTCCCAGAACTAGTTCAAGGCAGACAGGGAAACATTGAGCCTCACAGTCTGGTCCCCACCCCCACCCCCATTTGCTCTGGAAATCTAGTATTTTTCACTCTCTAGCAGAAAGAAGGTCATTGCAGAGACAGGCTCTGGATCTAGGCAGCTGTTTAAATTGACCTTCCTCGCTTCTTCCTCAGGTGGAACTCTTTACCCTTCAAATCCCAGTTCAAATAGCTCCACTTTTTTTTGGGGGGGGGGCAGGATCTTGATAAGTAGCCTAGGCTGGCCAGCCTCCCAAGTTTTGAGATTACAAGCATGTGCCACCATGTCCGGTTCTAGGATCACATTTCAGGGGAAAGAGAATAAAACCTTATTTTTAATTAACATGCAGAAGGCAAATTCTTAACTTCCTTATCTCCTTCTGTGTCTTTAACTATGAATGGAATGACCAATAGACAATTCCAGCATATTTCAACTTCCCTCAGCCTTCTAGAGTGACACCCTGTGGAACTCTGAATCTGAATGAATTAAGTGCCTACAGCATGATCATCTCCTTCTCTTCAGTAACTGCTTTGCTAACCGGTCTGCCTCTGTCTGAACCAAAACCCTTGCATCCCTGGGGATGCTCGTCGATGAATGGATGATGACCTGCACATGTGTTCTCAGGAAGGATTTTTTTTTTTTTTTTTGTCTCTCCTCCTCAGGGCCGTCCAATAACTCCAGTGTACACCGTGGCTCCCAATGTTCAGAGAATTCCCACTGCCGGCATCTATGGGGCCAGCTACGTTCCCTTTGCTGCGCCGGCCACCGCCACGATTGCCACACTACAGAAAAATGCGGCAGCCGCTGTGTATGGAGGATATGCCGGCTACATACCTCAGGCCTTCCCCGCTGCTACTATTCAGGTGCCCATTCATGACGTCTACCAGACTTACTGAGACCATGACCAGAGCAAAGACAAGCCACAAAAACACCGCTGAAGGAACACTTTATTATTTATGAAGAAAGAACGTGTGAGATTAGCACACGTGCGAAACCTGCAAGTGAAGAATGTTATCAAATATCACACTGAAATATTTTATACATGAAGTTTTCACTAGTTTTTTAAAGACTTTTCAACTTAGCAGGCCTGTGTTCATACATTTCTAAGAGACTTGCAACAAACGGTATTCATGCCTTAATTCCATCTTTTAAAAATTTGTACACTGTACTATGTTTGTATAGAGGTTTTGTTTTGTTTTTTAAGGATATATTTTCAGTATGAAGGTTATTTTCTTAACTTCTGCACTCCAGAGATGTCTATTTTGTAGTACTTTCAATAATATATCAGCTCTATATCAAAAAAAAAGCATACTTGAGCAGGTAGGGGACTATTTTGAGAAATATATTCAATATTTAAGGATACAGGCTATAGTGCTTTAAAATGCTACAGGAAACATTATTTTAAAGATGATACTGGAAAGTGCAATTTTTAATGAGTGGAACCTCTGCTGTATTTCCGCTGTCATTAAGGGTTGACGATGATGCCATGTGTTACCATGTTGCTTTCTGTTTCTTAAATGGAATAGTCTCTCCTTAAGCCAATAAGGAAAAGATTCGTCATACCAGGAGTCCCAACACTGGAAAGCTCTCACCTGCTGCCACTACCTTGGGCTCCCTCTCCATGTGTCTTTATTGTTAAATGTGTCCCGCCCCACTCCCGCTCACCTTTCCCCTCCTTCCTTAGTCCCAGTCCAACTTTGAAGTTTCACAAGTCTCAGAAAAATGGATAATTGTGATAGAGAAAAGAACTGGTGACTTTTATACTTCTTCCTGGGGTTTGGTTGGAGTGTCTATTTTTTTAAATTTTGTTTTGTTTTGTCGGGGTGGTTTTTTTCTCTTTTTTTGGATGGAAGGTGTTATCTTCTATATGTGCTATTTTTCAATAGCAGGACTCATGTAAGCACAGGTTTTAATATGTTTGCATAGGACATCTTTGCATAGCTATTTAAATTGTTCAGTATAAAACTTTATTCCCTTTCTAATGCTTTTATTGTATTCATTTTTGAAGTCTGAGTTTTTAGAGACAAAGAATGTATGCGATTGTAGACAAGACCCTCAAGACTTGTCGGGAGGAAGTTAAGCGTCTAGTTGCCTTACTGTGTTTCATGCAGAATGTCTGTGGTCATCAGGGATGTTGGTTGGAACCATTATGTTTGTTGAACAGGGCTTTCCTCCATTGCTGTGCACTTAGCAGGTAAACTTGGGGCATGCATATCCAGGAAGAGAGATCTGTAGAAATTATAAGAGCATTTGTAAATATCTTCTAATGCTTGCTTTTAGTCCTTTTGTGTTGCCGAAGTTCGTGGTATATAGTTTAATACAGAATGCAACAATTTTATTTCAGTTTTTCAAAAAGGTTGTTTATTAGCAAGTAAAGCATGTATGCAGTGTTTTGTGCCTGTCTAAAAGCTTTTCTTCAGCAGAGTGAATGTAAAATACAGTAAAATGTTAGGATTGTCATCTGTTATGAATTACGCCAGCTTGTTTTTCTCTAAAAGGCTCGGTCAAGGAAGTAAGGTGTGCAATAAGGTAGCAAACACACAGTTGTGTTTTTATGTCATAAGAGAGTTCATCTCATTGACTCTTCTTAACCACCAGATTGTTTTGCTGATGGACTGAATTCTTGAATATTTGTGAATCCACAATAGGATCACGCCCCTAGCAAATACTCTTAGGGTTTTTGTTGGTGGTTTTTGGTTTGTTTGTTTTTTTTTAAGAGATTCCAAAATACCTTCTTTCTCCCTCAGCTTGATGGGGTGAATTTTTATATATAAGGTATATTTATTTAACTATTCTATAAGATTATTGAGTGCCTGCCAAGGCCTTTAAACATTCCTGACTTTTTCCTCTTCATCATTGTTGAATGGCATAAAGTAGCCTCGCAGTGTTAGGATGCACCCAGCAAGCTACACTCAAACATAGCTGTGTTGGGATGAGGGACTCGATAAAAGGCAACTTCAATCAAGTCCTCATCCCTTGACTGGTGGGAGGGAAGAAGTATTCTCCTTCCCTAGAGGGACGGTCACAGAGAGATTCGGGGATGAAACTCTAACCCCATGTTCTTACTGTATTTTACATGTGCCTGGAAAATATTTGCCAAAAAAGAAAGAAAAAAAAAGCACTGTCTTAACATGGCAACTACCAAACTACCTTAAAAACAAGTGTTGGTACAGCCAGTATAGTGTCAGTGGCCCTCCTGTCTGTGGTCTTGTTTCTGTTGTTTCAAAACCATTTCATGTACACTACTGAGGTGAGCTTATAACTTGAAATGTGAACTTTTTTTTTAGGGTTAAGAACAAAACTAATATAAATGTTTAAAAAGTTTTTGAGTTCTGTTTTTAGACATGCTACTAGTTTAGTTGTCTTTAGCTTTGTATTTGAAAAGCTTTTTAGCTCTTGCTGCATTTACAGCACATGCTTAAGATGTATGTGGTAAATAAAGCTTTCTTTAAAGCAGTTTCAAGACTTTATTTTCCAGTGTTTTCTTTTCTTTTTAACAAAATTTAAGAAAGATCACATAGAAGGAATTGACAAATACAGTATTTTCATTTGGGGAAATGGTAGCCCTGTCTCTGGTCTGCAGTTACCATGGAGGATGAATTACAGAGATAATGATCATCGCCAGTGTTCTCAGAACCGCTTCTCAGTGGTACAAGGCTGAACCTTTGAATGCTACTCAGCTTTGGATTGGAATGAGATGTGACAGAGCCTGTCACTGTTGTCATTCTGATGCTTGTCTAGGACTCCAGGAGCTCTGCACTCAGGAGAGCTGGAGGCAGCTGTGACATTTGATTGTACGGTGATCTGAAAGTGCCTGCTGACCTCAGTGTTGGTCAGTGCAGCCAGAACCAAAGCCTTCTTGTTTCTCCTTTTCACAGTGCACAATAAGGTTAACACAATACTACCTTCCCTTTTCTATGGAGGTTATCACTGCTTCAGCTGCCTTCAAACAGTATCCGCCAACAAAGCCTAGCAAGTGACAGGAGAGAAAGTGTCAGGCTGTTGACAGAATTATGATGCTTCTCAAAATTGGTCCACCCAGCTTTGCTGGTGATTTAATTTTCATTGTTCTTGTTTTTGATTTTATGGAAGAAAGTTTGTTTGGGCTCGTGGTTCCAGAGGGATAAGTGTCTATCATGGTGGAAAGGCATGGCAGCAGGAACAGGAAGCTGAGAGACCATATCTTTAATGCAAACATGAAGCAGAAGGCTTGTTTTTAGTGACAGAGTCTTGCTATACAGCACAGGCTGGCCTCAAACTCAAGGCAGTCCTTGCTCAGCCTCCAGGGTGCTAGGATTACAGGTATGCAAGGTGTACACTCTATCCTGCCAGGCTTGAATTTTACCTTCTAACTTGAACTTAGGCCATGACTTCCCATTTCACATCTCCTGGAACCCTCACTTCCTCTCTAATGTAGAAAAGCCTTTCAGAGGCAGAAGAGGATTTGACACTTTTCAAGAATACAGATCATTAAACCGTGGAAAATTTTGTTTTGTTATTTTTAAAAGATTTAATTGTTTATGCATGTGTATTAGTGTAGGGGGTATGTACACTTGAGTACAATTGCACAAGGAGTCCCGAAGAGGGTGTTGAATCTTCTGGAGCTGGACTTGTAAATGGTTGTGAGCTGGCCAACGTGGATGCCAGGAAACAAGCTTAGGTCCTCTGCAAGAGCAGTATAAGCTCTTAACCACTGAGCCATCTCTCCAGCTCCCTTGTCATTTTTTTAAAAACCTTTAAGAATTGCTTTGTTTTGTTTATTTAAGACAGTGTCTCATGTAGCTGAAGCTAGCCTTGACCCTCTGATCCTCCTACTTCTAACTTCCCCAGTGCCAGGATTATAGGTAGTTGGCACTACATTTGACTTACACAGCATCCTTGTTCAAGAAGAAAGGTACTGATGCCCACAAAGAGCCATGGTCAGGGTTAGACTGAGTCACTCACTATCTACGAACAGCTCACACTCTATTGCACCTCTCCTAGGCAAAGGCTTTGTTCCAGCAGCCACAGCCTCTGGAACGGGCTGTGAAGCCTTGTTTCTTCACACTGCAGCTGCTCTTCCTTCCAGTGGGAGAACTCTGACAAACCAGGAAGTCAGTGGTATGTCGGGTGAGAATAAATGTGATTATGTGACTCCCTGGGCCCTGGCTTCCATCACCTCAGGTGGACCACATGATCAATAGTGAGGTTGGTGGGGCAGATAGAGACTAGCCAAGGTCACTGGGCTGGTGAGAAACCCAGACTCCAGTCAGAGTTCATAGTCCAGTACCAGATTCAGTCTGATAACACAGGACCCTAGAAATGGGTCAGTATATTAGGAAGAGAAAAGCTTGTCTATCAATACATTGGATTTTAGTGTGTTTTCATGTGCAACTTGGGGAGTAAGAATGGAAGCGCGAATGTTTGAAAATGCCTGCTTAGCCCTAAAGAGAGAGCAGTGTGTCAGCCTGGTGAAACTGTATACATTACTAGATCCAAGGAATTCTAGCTATAAGGCCATCCCAAAGACTATGGAGAAGGCCCTCCAAAGCAATCCTAGGAATCAGCTACACTCTTCTGGGTTTGTTTGATTATTTGATACTAACGATCAAACCCAAGACGTCACACATGCTAAGCATACACTGTACCACTGGGCTACACCCCAGTCATTAATTATGTCCTTCTGATTCTTTGTTGTTGTTTCGAGACAAAGTCTCAAAAGATAGATCAAGCTGGCCTGCACAAGCCTAAGCTGGCCACAGACTTCCCATCTTCCTAAGTGCTGGGGTTATAGGTGAGTACCACCATGCCTGGCCCCCCTTCAGGTTCTTTGTTTGGTTTGTTTTTTGAGACAGGATCTCACTATGTAGCCCTGGCTGGCCTGGAACTATGTAAACCAAGCTAGCTGGAACTCACAGAGATATCCACCTGCCTCTGCGTCTTGGTTGCTGGATTAAAGATGTGAAACAACACACCCATCTATCCCATTCAGATTCTTTTTTAATATTTTTATTTTGTGTGTCTGGGTGTTTTGTCTGCATGTATGTAAATGTACCATGTGCATTCAGTAACCACAGAGGCCATAAAAAGGTGTCAGGTCTCCTGGAACTGGAGTTAATAGTTTTAGCTGCCATGTGGGTGCTAGGAACTGACCCTGAGACCTGCAAGAGCAACCAATGCTCTTAACCACTGAATCATCTTTCCAGCTCCATATTTTCATCTTTTTGAGGAATCACCAATAGAATGACATAGGCAAAGTGTCTTTCCCTTGCCTCTAACATATTTCCCTTTTTTTTTTTTTCTTTTGGTGTTTTGAGACAGGGTCTCCCTGTAGCCCCAGCTGACCTGGAACTTGCTGTGTAGACCAGGCTGGCCTCCATCTCAGACAGATCTGCCTGCTTCTGCCTCCCAAGTGCTGAGATTAAAGGTGTGACTACCATGCCTGGCGTAGTTCCCATTTTTGATCCCAGGTTTAATATAGGAAAAGTCTCATGCTATTTACAGAATGTTGTCCTTTGATTACAAGATCTAAGCTGTCAAAGTAGATGCAGTCTTTTCTCTCACTAGCCCTCCTTTCCTGAGTACCCAGTACGCTCTGTTTTCTAATCCTTCATGTTAGTAAACATGGAATAAACACGGTTACTCAGACACTTCCCTCAGTAAGCAAGCTCTACTTGGGTTTCCAGTCCAAATGCCTGGGGGATGTCCCAGCTTTGTTGCCTAATGGTGACATGACCTTAGAAAAAATGCCTTACCTCTCAGATCTCTTAATTGGTTAGAGATAATAATCCTGACCTCTTAGAGCTGTGGTAAAAATCAGATGAGTTCATGAATCTTAAAGGCCTGACATATTGCAGACACTTTTTTCAGAAGGTTATATCCATCCCTTTCCCCTTTCATCACCATTTTTTTTTTCAGTACTGGGCATTGAACCTGGTACTCACACCCTCTAAATAAGTGTTCCACCACTGAACTATAGCCCCAGCTCCTTTTCAGCAGAGTCACTAAGTTATGCAGACTGACCTTGAATGTTCTAGGTAGCACAAACAGGCCTTGGATTCTTAGTCCTCTGCCTCAGCCTCCCCAGTAGCTAGGATTACAGGGCAGGCTCCCTTCTGGGTTTGACCCCTAGTCTGAACATATTCCTCTATATTTAGCCCATCAAACCTTTCCATTTTAGACTTGAAGTGTGTTTTTTAGTTTTAGTTTTGTTTAATTTTTTCCTGTGCTGGGATGGAACCCAGGGCCTCAAACACTCTGGGCAAGTAAGTGCTCCATCTCTGAGCTACACCGCAAGTCCTTTAATTCTTATATTTGCCATTTATTCAATAGACATTTATTGAGTGCCAACTCTGTATTAACACAGCAGGAGACATTAGAGAGACACAAGTCAACAAAATCAACCCTGTCCACCTTCTAGAACTTCCAGGTGACAGTATTCTAAGGACAGAGGCACTTATACCCTTCAAGCTTACACAGGTAGCCCAGTAGCAGGAGGAGTAGGGGCTGAGGAAAGCAACATGGCCAGTTCAGTCCAAGAGTCCAAGGTCAGTCTGGGCTAAGTTGTAAGTTTGAGGCCAGCTTGGTATGTGGTAAGAACTTGTCTCACTCCTCCCCCTCAAAAAATAACAAAAAGGAGGGAGAGAAGGAGGGAGGGAGGGAGGGAAGGAAGAACCCTCCGTTTATTCACATGGATGAGGCTACAGGTGTGTCTCTTTAGCATGGTACACCTTAATGCTTCTAGAATCTTCCACTCTCTCTCCTTTCTAAGGCCTACAGCAGCTACTTGTGCCTGCCAGGGCATCCCCATTGTCCTTAGGCACCCCCATCTGTCCACATAATGGCACAGAGGTGCAGGCTTCTGCAGAGGCAGTGAAGACCAATGGCCCTTCCTCCACAGGACTGAGGGAGGAAGAGGATCCCAAGGAGGCACACCAGTTTCCCCAGAAGAACTATGTTCCCATGAGCTCTCCTCCACAGAATTATACTCACATTCAAAAGTAACACCAGATCCTGTATTTGCAAGAAATACGAACTTTCCCAAGCTAATTTTTAGCCACCCTTATTTCTTGGCTTGCTCTACTTTGTTTGTCAAAAATCCTCATTACTGATTAACCAACCATGAGGTTTAAATAGGCCTTAGTCATGCTGAGGCAGGAGAGACGTGTCACTGAAGCCTAATTGTTCTGACCAGACCTTGCTGGGGGTTCGGGGATCAAGACATTTTGAGCTCTAGCATTATGATAACACCAGGTCACGCCAGTTCAGTTTGGCTGGGATTTTTCCTCTCCTTTATCCAGGACGTTTATTCCAAACTATGGTGGCATCATGGCACAAAGTTATTATTTCCATCAACTTCACCCTCATCCCCACCCCACTTCAAATCTGGCCCGTTGATACTTTCTTAATTTTATACAATGTTCTATGCTGACTTGGTAACACGCACACACACCCCTCCCCTTTCCACATGAAAGACTCACATAGGG